TTTGACAAAATTGTGTAGCCCCGATGTGAAGTTTACAGAATCAGCATTGGATAGGAGCACCTCAGGAGCTTTTTAATCTTGTTTTATAATTGTTGTGCCCTGAAGCATTGCGTTTAACCTCAGGATGCTTAGGGTAGGCTGTACCTGTAATTAGTTTTCTGTAAGCTACTTCTACATGGCAGGTAACCATGTAACACCTCATTAGTGAGGTGCCTTGAGTTCGCTGGGATTGGAGATTATAGATTTAGTAAACCCTCTAGGGAAGTGGTTCCTAAACTTTCGAAACTGTGCACCTTGTTTTTTTCAAGGTAAGAATTTTACACACTCCCATGAGCCATAGTAACATTTTTAAATAGTTAAAAAATAGACACATTTTCTTTATAAATAATACTGATATTTTAGTGATATAAATTGGTTGCTCAAACGAGGTTCATAACATTTTGAAAAATAAAGGCAAAAAACATTTGTAGTTGTGGTGTTCAGTTTTACTTGCAGTTTCTATGGTATTCTAGATGGCTGCTAGGGTGTTTTGATTGGTTGCTGGTTGGAGTTATGTTAGATTGGATCTTCTGGTTCACAAGGTTTGGGGTTTTAGGGGTGAGCCTTTGTACAGTAAGCGTTAATAAAACAGTGGCGCTTGTATACAGTCATGTCAAGAACATTAAAAATATATTATTTTGAGCCATCCACAGCTCGGTATGGCTAAGAGTTCACATAATTTTTACAAAGGCTCAATGGAAGCAGAATAGTCTCAAATATAATTCATGCAAGAAACATGATTCACACGTGCGTAGACAATTTCACAATTCACGTACACACAAAAAAACGTAATTCACGTATACAAAAAAAATTCATGTGCGTGGAAAAAAAAAATATATTCACAAAAAGCAATTCACATGTGCAAAATAAAGTTACATATTCATAAAAACAATTCACAAATGCAAAACAATTCGTAGATATACAACTGTGCACAAAAACCTTTGAATGTTTAAAACGTACGAGAGTGTCCTTGAATTTCAATGTGCAAATCTTCAGAAATGAACAAGTAACTGCACTTACCTCTGCTCAGCCATGTACTAGTCGAAAGTTGATGACGTAACATGCAGATAGGCCCGCCCTCACGTGATACTGATTGGTCGATTGATAAGCATGTAGAAGGGCTGCTTGTTGGTACAAGGTTGTGTATTTTGTTTTGGGCGTCTTGGGTTCAGGTTTACTTAAAAATAAACCCTCTTTTTATAAAAGAGCCAGACTTAAAGAAGTCATGAACTGATAAACTGAGAAATCAAGTTTTCCTTTATCTTTTTACATACAAGAAGTAATTTTACTATAAAAACATACCATAAGTTTCAGAACTTAAAACTAATTTGTTAGTCCAAATATTTTTTAAACTAAGTTGCCAAACTGACTATTTTTATTTTCTGGCTTTTATTACCTAA